TTCTGATGAGCTTGTGATTGTTCATCTGAAAAAGCATGCCATCTTCACATTTATTCGATTGTTTTTTCGCTCAAATCACGATGCCATCGGACCTGTCAAATCATTATTGAGGTTAAGTATACTGGGATTGAGTAATTGGAGATGAACCTGAGGTTGAGCAGTGGCCATTCAACTAAAGCCCGGCGAAGCGTTTCGCGTAATAGTCTAACGTTGGGCTGTGAGCGCGTGACGGGGCTCAACCTCGGGTACATGTGACGCGCGTGGAGTTTATCCCAAGCTGGGGCGGAGTGGCGTATTTCTAGCTGGGATACGGGTTCCGAGACGAGCTCGAGCGGTGTGATTTCTACCCGGGTAACCCTCTTTCATCCCTTAATCGCTGTAACAAAAAAATAAAAACTGCCATGAAAGTCGGAGGCCAGTAAGAAAAATAATTTTTTCGCGGCGCACACTGACTTTTCACCATTCGCCCGCGAATTAAAAATTCACTTCTCCCCTCCTAATTGAGATTAAGGGATGAAAAAATGGCAGTTCGACGGAGAATTAAATTCCCCATCACCTAACCCTCTTTCATCCCTTAATCTCTGTAAAAAATGGAATAAACTGTCAGGGAAATCACAGCACAGTAAGAAAAGTAATTGTTTTGCGGCGCACAGTGACTCCCGATAATTAAAAATTGACCTCTCTTCTCCTAATTGAGATTAAGAGATGAAAAAGAGCAGTTCGATGGGGAATTAAATTCTCCATCAACTAACCCTCTTTCATCTCTTAATCTCAATTAGGAGGGGCGAGGTGAATGTTTAATTACCGGGAGTCACTGTGCGCCGCAAAACAATTATTATTTCCAATAGGAAATATGCTATAAGAAATGCAATTTTAATTCAATAAAATTGCTTATTGAATTTGTTACATTTTATAAATTTTATAATACATGCTAACTCGACTATCAAGCACAATATCATTTCTGAACATAGAATAATTAAAATTGTTAATCTTCGTCGAGGTAAATCGTGCCCCAAGAACTATCAGTGATAATTTTTGGTTTTCCAATAAATTTTTCATTTTAATAGTTATCATTGCGATTCCATCCTTAATGCATAGATGATTTATTTTTTATTAGTCGCGAATATCGAAGAAGGAAAAAAAGGTATTTAAATCTCGGAATTATTGTAAATGAACAACGAATGAATGAAGTAATCGAAGAATTGAAGCTTTTTATTTTTTTTATTTTGTAAGATTTTGTGTGAAACGCTCGAAAGACATCCCGCTATATTCAGGCAAAGTTTATCTCTTTTCTTTTCTCACACTATCCCTCACGCACTCACTGGATACATCAGGTGACTCACACGTCCCTAAATCACAACGAGTGCGAGCGAGCGCGCAACTCTATCTCAGACTCTCTCAGGGGGGGAATATCGACATCCGTATACGCGCCCTGTTATACCGACAAGTGTGTACTCCGCGTAGTTCATGGGTCGCCGCTACGAAAAAACTTGGTCGAAGCCCTTGCATAGGCGTTGGAGATCTCCCATATAATCTCTGGTAACTCGGCAGTAACAGTCTCGCTGTCACAGGGATAGTTTCGGAGGGGAATTTATGCTCTCCTCGTCCTCAACATATTCTTAATGTTTTTCAGGTCATTCATTTGCTGGCTAATTAATATTAAGGAATGAAACCCAGACGGTGTGGTGGAGAATTAAATTCCCCATTAATCGATCCCCGTTGCATCCCCTAATCTCTGTCACAAAAAAATACAACTACGACAAAAGTCATGGGCCAATGAGAAACATAATGTTCTTCTCAGCGCACAGTGACTTTTCACCATTCGCCCGCGAATTAAAAATTTCTTTCCCCACCTAATTGAAATTAACGGATGAAAAAAAGGCTGTTTGACGGAGAAATAAATTAACACTCAATTAACACTTTTTCATCCCTTAATCTTTGTAAAAAATGGAAGAAACTGTCATGGAAATCACAGCGCAGTAAGAAAAATAATTCTTTGGTGACGCACAGTGACACCCGGTAATTAAAAATTCACCTCTCCCCTCCTAATTGAGATTAAGGGATGAAAAAAGGGCAGTTCGACGGCGAATTAAATTCTCCATTAATTAACCCTCATTTATCCCTTAATCTCTGTAACAAAAAAATAAAAACTGCCATGAAAGTGAGGGGCCAGTAAAAAAAAAATTTTTTTCGCGGCACACACTGACTTTTCACCATTTGCCTGCGAATTAAAAATTCACTTCTCCCCTCCTAATTGAGATTAAGGGATGAAAAAAGGGCAGTTCGACGGAGAATTAAATTCTCCAATAATTTTGATAAAGAAGATAGAAAATTCATACGAATTCTATTAGAAATTGAATATAGTTCAATTGTCAGTCCCCAGAAAACAATTTTTGCTAGTGCCATCTAAAATTTAACAGGACATCGGTAATTTGTCGACAAATTGTCGACATATTGTTTGCTGGGTCGTAATACCCTTCTAAATGATCGGATACCTCCCGATAGCTTCGTTGCGCAGCAACGAGAGGGATAGGCTTTGAAGGTCTTATAAGGTCTCCTGAAGGTCTTACAAGGGTCTCAGAGTTTCAAAGGAGTTATATGAAAAGGCTTAAATAAGTTACAAAATGTTTATTATATCAACGCACATATCAATAATGGACTTGTTAGGAAATCTATCAATTCGAAAACATATTGCTAATTCATTAGCAAAAACGGACACGATGATTAACAGAATGAAAACGAATGGCCCACCTGTTCATTGAGTTAGGGTGATATTTATATTTAGCAGATTATTTTTCCCATCCAAATTTCAGCCAATAGAATTGCACCATTCGACTGTTTTTTATGTAGTCAACACGAAACGCAACTGATAATTTTTTGAGAATTTCCCNTGACTGTTTTTT